ACATTATTGGGGGAAAAAAAAGGACATCTGACCCATCCAATATATATTATAAATGTTATCTTCAAATAATTTTGTGAGAATAAATAATGTGAGACAAATAAAAGAAAAATATTAAGTGAATAATAGATCTGCTATGAAAATATGGTGAAAATGTGAGCTGGACGCGGAGTGTTTGAAGGAGGGAGTATATTTGCCCGGGCAGACTATCATGAACTGTGTGGCCTTCCCCTCATTCAACCTCACTAAGTCTCAGTTTCCTTTTTTTCTAAGATATTTAATTAATTAATTTATTTGACAGAGATCGACACCGCGAGAGCGGGAACACAAGGACAGGAGAAGGAGAGGGAGAAGAAGGCTCTCTGCTGAGCAGGGAGCCCAATGCGGGGCTCGATCCCAGGACTCTGGGATCATGTCCTGAGCCGAAGGCAGATGCTTAACCTTCTGAGCCACTCAGGTGCCCCTAAGTCTCAGTTTCTAGAGAGGAAACAAATAATCTACCTCAAATTGGTCATGTGAGGATTCACTGCAATCATGAGTGTAAAGCCTTCGGTGTGGTGTCATGCTTTTTGGAAAAATAAGAGTTTAGATTGGTAGGAAGTTATCTGTACAAACAATCCATTTAAAGAACATTTAATGAAACTCTGTTGAGTCTACTATGGGTGGAGCACTGTGATTTCGCTTCTTTGATGTCATTTTTTCCTTCACAACCTCTCACGTGAGACAGGTAGGGCTTTGCCAAGAAGAGTAGGAAGATTCAAAGATGGTCCAGTCTGGATCAGAATCATCTGCCTCACTCCTTTGGCCCCAGCAGAAGCGCCTCTAGTAACCGTCTCCATAGTAACCACACTTGGCCCAGCAGGCCAGAGCATGGGTACCTGACTAGAAAGAGATGGAAGGACCCAGGAGGCAGGTGGAAAACTAGCTGGAAGCAGGAAGCTATGTAGGAAAAGGAAAAAAGTAGTTTCCTTAATGCCCACAATTACAGGAGTAATGATGGTAATAATTCTTATTCATGGAGCACCATCCTAAGTGTTTTATGCATGTAGGTATGTATGATCATGTTGAATGCTCACCATAAGAATTACAGTACCTGTGAGGGAGGTACTACTATTTGTCCCACTTTACAGATGAAGACCTTGAGGTACAAAGAGGATGGGTGTCTGCCCAAGGTCACAGGGCTGCTGCACATGTGCCGGGTTTGGAAAACGGCTTAGAAACCTACCATTAAAACTGCCCTTTCTTAGGGCATGGGAAGAGTAGTTCCTGGCATGCTAGGTCCCCAACCTCCTCTCTGTGCCAAGGATGGCTGGGAAATGTGGAAACCTGGCATCTTGACAAGCAGTCCATTGTCTGAGGTCCTGGTTTTTGGCCCTTAGCTGCATTAGATTCATCTGGGGAGCTTTAAAGGGATACCAGTGCCCAGACCCCAGCCCAGCCTGGTTATATCAGAAACTTGGTTGGGAGTTGAGCAGGTATTGCTATGTTTTAAAATGCTCTCCAGATGATTCTCATAGCCTTGAAAAAACCACAGTCTAAAGCATCTGCTCTTGAATTGGTAAAGGTGTCTAAAAGAGAGACCCAGTTTTGCAATCCTTAGTTATTTGACAGAGCAAGCTGGGAAGAAAGCTGGAATATACTGGGTGCCTATGATGTGCCAGATCCTGAATATAGATGTGGTCTCTCACTACGCCCTTATTTGGGACCTCTGAGAAGCCCAGAGGGATTAGTGAGTGGCCTTCAGGGGTCAGGATGGGGCAACTGCCCTATTCCCTCTTATGCATCAATTCCCAGGAAATGAATGTACTGAGAGCTTAAATTATGGAGGTAGACAGATGGACTGGGGACAGGTTCCTGCTTTCTCTGGGTGTATGAACTCGAGCAAGTTGCTCAATCTCAGAGGCTCAGTCTGTTTTCCCGTAAAATGGAAAATGATGCTTTTAGAGTATGCATTTTCAGTGGGGCTATGATACCCCCAAGAGGGTGGCATGGGGGAGGGGCAAAACATTGCCTTTGTGTGTGTATAAAGCACAGAGGTACGTAAGTACACAGACATGCAGCATATCTGTGCCATTGAAATTTCATGACAGCAGCGGCGCCTGAGTGGCTCAGTTGGTTAAGCATCTGACTCCTGATTTCAGTTCAGGTCGTGACTTCAGGGTTGTGAGATCCAGACCCAAGTTGGGCCCTGCACTGGGCTTGGAGCCTGCTTGGGATTCTCTCCCTCTGCTCCTCCCCCTGCTCATCTAAGACAAGAATGGCCTAGGGACCTTCTTTCTCAATTCCTGCCCTTGCTTGCAGCAGCTTCTGCTCCCAGCATTAAAGAAGTACCATGCCCTCAGTCCACCCCTATTAGAGTATCATTTTGCCCCTGGAGAGCAACTGAATTAAGTATAATCATTATTGAATGCCTCCTGTATGCAAAAGCATTCTATTCATTGCTAGAGATCTAGAGATGAATAATGAGAAGAAGAAAGATTCAGTTTCTGATCTTGGTTCTTTTTTTAAAAAAAGATTTTATTTATTTGAGAGAGAGAGAGAGTACAAGCAGGGGGAGTGGCAGAGAACAGGGAGAGGGAGAAGCAGGCTCCCTGTTGGGCAGGGAGCCCGATGCGGGACTCGATCCCAAAACTCTGGGATCATGACCTGAGCTGAAAGCAGATGCTTCACTGACTGAGCCACCCAGGCATCCCTCGGCTCTTGGTTCTGATGAGAAAAACAGATACATAAAATGGGCATATTGCTATAACATGATATAAAAGATCCTGTGTGCAGGAAACTTGGGGAACACAAAGAGGATATTTGGACAAGTTATGGAGCTGACTCTTGTAGAATGGCTAAGATTTAACAGGGTGAGGAAGGTGGGAAGTGACTTCTGCACAGAGGGAGCAAAATGAGCAGAGAGGTAGGAGAATACAGTAGGTGTAGGCTGGCGCAGAGGTGAGTAATGCATGAGGCACAGAGTGAGGGCAGAGGCCAGAGGCGAGGCCAATGGACGGCTTAGCCATGGAGGACCTTGAGTGCTGCATCATTTGCACTGGGGAGCTGTAGTTGTATGAGACTCAGGTAGAGGCAAGTTGGTTCTATAGTTGTGTTGGGAGGGTCCAAATCTTTTTTCAAGGAATAAGTCTTGATGTGGCCTTCCAGGCCCCACATTTCCAGCTGATCTTCACTCTCTGTTCCCCACTTTCTCCCTTGCTCTCTGTGCCCATCTCACTGGCTTATTTGCAATCCCCTGAATGCCACTGGACCTTTGCACATGTGGCTCTTTCTGCCTGGAGTAGGTCCTCTGTTACTTATAAGGGTATTGAATTACTGTCTTTCTCTCCGACTATACTTCAACCCAGGGACTGTGTCCATCTTTGCTCAACATTATAAACCCAGCATCTAGCATAATATAGATTCCTAGTTAATATTTGTGGAAGGGAGTAATGGATGTGGGAAGGAAGAAAGGAAGGAAAGGAAGGGAAAGGCGAAACTAGAACCCCACAAACTTTTGTATGTCTTTCCTCACTCCCAGTCCTCCCCAGTTCGGTCTGTCTCCTTGGGTCCTGCCCAGGGGCCAGGGCCAGAACCAGCCAGCATCCTAGCCAACCAGCAGGCCCTGTCATTTGAGCAGCGTGCCTTCAGTGGATGAATGCTAATCGATAATAATGAAACAATTTATGTGTCTCTCCACATTTACAAACTGTGGGAGGCACCTCCTTTGCTCTCTCCAAGCCTCAGTTACCTTATCTATAAACTGGGGTCAAAAAAGTACCTCATTCGTTGTGCAGATTAAATAAGATAATGCATGTAAAATGCTTGACACTTAGCCTCGCGTGTGGGAATTGTTCAATTCACGTTAGCTATTATCATTATCAGCTAATATGGTTATTATCACCGTAAGAATTATCTCCCAGAACAGAAAGATCAGCTTAGTTCATCAAATATTTATATGGCTTTAACAGTGTGCTCAGACCAAGGTAGATGTTGTCACCAAAGACACGCAAGAAAGTTCCTTGAAGCAATATTTTGAGAGCCCCAAACTGGAAATAGTCCCGATGCCCATCAAGAGAAATTCATTAGAGCCACATACTGGAGTACTACACAGTGGTTAGGATTAACTGTTGTGACTCACAGACACATGGATGAATCTCACAAACATAATATCGAGTGGAAGAATCCAGACAGAAAAGAGCACACACTGGATGATCCCATTTTTATGAAGTGCAAACGCATGTGGAACAGACCTATGGTTTTAGAAGTCGGCATTGTGCAGCCTTCAAGGAGGAAGCTGGGGATTGTGGCTCAGGAGGGAGGGGAAGGGGAAGGTTGGTAGTATTTGTATCTGGGCCTAGGCCCTGAGTATAAGGGCATGCCCACTTTATGAAAATACATCAAGTTGTACATTCTGATTTATGTGCTTTTTCTGTATCTGTATTATGCTTCTGTTAAAGGTTTACTAAACAAACAAGTCTGTTCAGTAGAGAGCTGAGGAAACAGAAGTGGGGTGAGGAAAGAAGGCCAGCAGTACAATTCTGTGCTTGCCCACAAGAACAGCTGCTTCTCCTATTCCTTCCCAAACATGACTTAGCCATTCAACTATAGGAATTTTGTCCACATCTATCCCACCACTGTGTTAATCTGAGCCAGGCGTGATTGGTACAACACCAGACTGACTGGTTTTCTTGGCCTCTCTTCTCTCTCAAACCACTCTCTGGAACCCTGAGCTGCTGTCTTAAAAGATCCTGTTCATCTCTGCATCCTCAGTGCTTAGTACCTGCCTAGAACATGGCAGGTGATCAAGGACAGATCTAGAATGAATGAAGTTTCCCAGCACAATCAGAGCTAGAGAGCTACGGGGGGTGCTGTGGGATAAGGGGAAGCATTTGTAGATTTGGGTGGGGAGCAGTGACCCACATTTAATGGTCAGAGATTTCTCCAGCAGTAAACTGCCCAACCTACTGACACTCTTTCTGTTTTTGTTCACCTGTTCTGTTTTGGTTTGTTTTTTTCCCCAGTGACCTTCAGTGACTGCAAGGGAAACAACAAGCTACACTATGAGGTCTCAAGCCCATACTTCAAGGTGAACAATGATGGCAGCTTAGTTGCCCTGAAAAACATAACTGCGGTAGGCAAGACTCTGTTCATCCATGCCCGGACTCCCCATGTAGAAGACATGGCAGAACTCGTGATTGTCGGGGGGAAAGACATCCAGGGCTCCTTGCAGGTAACACAGCTGTTTGGGATAAACTGGGTCCACAGAGGAACGTTGGGGTCTGTATGTCTTATGTGGAAAATAGTTCTTTGGTTTATTATTGGCCAAGACTTCTTTGTTGTTGCAAAGGACAACAACGCAACTCAGAAAACTATTCGGGGGAGGTGGTATGTGGGCATTTATTGGCTAATGAGGCAACTATTTCAGAGTAACTCTGCCTTCAGGCATGGCAGTGTACCAGTGCCCAGTTATGACATCAGCTTTGATCCTTACCCATTTGTGGTTCTGTTTCCCTTCTGTTGGCTTCACTTTTAGACAGTCACGTCTTTCTCTGCCTTCCAATGTGGAGATCTCAGCAGCTCTACTTCATTTTCCCAGCCTGAAGTCCCCTGAGAAAGCGCCTCTTCCTGATAATGCCAACAAATGCTTGAAATCAAATCTTATTGGCTCTCATTAGATCACATGTTCATCCTTGAACTAGTCACTGTGTCCATTGGGTAGCGATGCTCTAGTTGGCCAAGTCTGAGTCACGCGTCTCATCCTGAAGCCAGGGTGGAGTCAGCCCCACCTAAGACATATGGGCGGAGAGTGAAAGAGGTAGTTACTCAAAGTAAATCAGCATGCTGTTGTCTGAGGGTGGGAAATGGTGCTTGGGCGGGCATGATCTAGTGCCCGTTCCTTTCAAGATGCACACATATGCTGATCCTTGTACTTGTGTACATGTTTACACACTTTAAGAATGCTACCAACTGCCCTTTAGACTTCAAGACTGTGTCATCCAGAGACTTTTTGCTACCGTGGACTCACCTACCCCTCCTTCATCAAGATTTTAAAGACTCTGGTTTCTTGATAGAAAGGAAAGGCGCACAGCAAGACCCAGACCAAACAATTACAATAATAATGGTGTGTTCCCAGCTGGGTGTGGCTAGCTTTTGCTCCTGCTTGATGGTCTGCTCTTACCCAATTTTTCAAAGCCTTGATTTTTGCTGCCTTTCTCCATCTGCCACACTCCCCATAACCTTGCTTTATCTGCGAATTTTTGTTCAGCGGTGGAGGGTGGGGGGTTGGTACGAACACCGATTCTACAGCTGGGGAGCAGAGACAGAGACTGTCTGTGTGATCTTGAAAGAATCATCAAACTCCTTTATCTGCAGACTGGAGGGGTGAAACAGTCTGGGATGGCTAATAAGTGGCATGTGCATCGCCCCATTCTGTCATCATACTCATGGCAGATATGGCTAATTGTCCCCAGCTTGACCTGAGTATCTTTCCCAATACAGTGCTCTGGAGCTACTATCCATCGATCATTCAGAGATGTTTCCAGGGATGGAATATATTTGTCATCCCTAGACCGGACAGACTCCACAATTCCCCTTCATATCTGTGAATCTGTGAGTTAAGGGTAGATAGCAAGCTAAAGATGAATCCACAGTGTGCCACCGATATTTTCAAAGAAAACAGGATGTTGATGAATATGTCCAGTGTGTCAACCCACTGGCACCACGAGAGCAAGCTTTTCTCTTACTTTAACCATTTCACAGCCTCTCACTAACTTGCGATATAAATGACTTGGTAAATATCTAAAGTACCAAAATTGCTGGGATGTGCAGCACAAAGTGCTTCTTAGGAACAAGTAAATGGTACAGAAACTCACATAAGGGGGTTTGCATGTGGGATGGGATGTATTTAGACAGACATTGTTCATCGTGATGAAAGGTTCCTCTTTAAATCCAGAAAAGACAGTGTCATCCTGCTTAGCTTAAAGCAGAACAGAGGGAATTCTGGGCACTTCCCAGGACAGACTCCCACCTTGATAGGCTCTGAGACCTGGGGTTCAGTACGAAGAGACTCAGTCTTGAAGAACTGGCCTCTTGAGTCCCAGAGAGACACCCTCCTGGAGGCCAGGCCCCTCAGAGCCGTTTCTCATTCGCCTTTGTCTGAGCCCATTGTCCACAAAGCCTGGCTGCCATCGGCAGCTTCTTATAAAGCCTGGTGGAGGCCGTGGCACCGTGCACTTTGCCGGACCCCAGCAGAACGGGGCATTCCCCTCCTGCCTCCAGTAATTTCATGAGGTTTGAAAATAGGCCTCGTGAAGCTGCCCAGATGTGTCTGTAGTAAAAAGTCCAAAAAAATTAAAAAGAAAAAAAAAGATAGGGAAACAATATAGCTAGCCAAAGAATTCTTCCAAGGAGAACACAGTCCTTAAGAGATATTCATTTGGTATTTTGAGGCCCTCCTATGTGCAGCCAAGTAGCCAGCTGCTAGAGAGGGGAAGCACTGAGCCCTCAGTCAGCCCCGCTCCTGGGCGGGGAGGGAAAACGAACGAGTATGTTGAAACAGCCCTAAGCAGGGCACCAAGGCCGACTGCTCTCCTGTGCCTTTTAGAGAACAGATCGGGCAGTGGAAGCTGGGCTGGTAACAGAGCCAGCACGTTCATGGCCCTCATGGGCCCCAAATGCTGACTCAATAAATCTCCCCCACCGCCTATGAGGCATGTGCTACTGTGCTCTCTTTACAGATGGGGGAAACTGAGGACATAGAGGTGAGTGAGAAATTATATTATTTAGTGGGACTCTCTCAAGGGTGTACATCTCAGTCTGTGCTTTGTGTCCATTGTTTTTAATCCTCACAACCCTCCCCCGTGGGGCTGCTGACTTCACCCCTTCCTCCAGATGTGAAAAGTTGGCCAAGATCCCCTAGCTTGAAATTGGCAGAAATGAGATTGAGATCTGGCCTCTCCGTACAAACATTCACTCTCTTTCCCACCCATGGGTCAAGAGATGAGGGCACGAGTCAGAGCAATACAGTAGCAATGGAAGAAACCAACAAATGGCAGGTGTGGTTTGAAGGAGGAAAGAGCCAGGATTTAGCATTTGGGTGACTCCAAGCTGTGCAGGCTAGGAGGATGGAGGTGGATTGGACCAGTCAGAAAAGGGGTGGTTGGGAAAGGCGCTTGCTTAGTCAGGCTTGGATGTGTTGAGTTAGTGGCTCATGGGGACATCTTGATAGAGATGACAGAAAATATGGGACTAGATCTTAGGGTAAACACTTAGGGGAAGAACAGTATAGTGGTAAGGCTTTGGCTTTGGTGTTGAACTTAAGTGGGTTCAAATTTCTCCTCCACCACCTATGACCTGTGACTTTGGACAAGCTACCCAACTCCCTAAACCTCAACATCCTTATCTATGAGACAGGGGTAAGAATAATCTGCATCACAGAATCATTCTGTTGGGCACAGCCCAGAACACCAGGTGACCCATCCTAACAATGGTATCATATTGGAACCTCTAGAGAAAGAATAGCTACTGGGGGTTAAGTGATCTCACCGAGGCCAGGAGACAGAAGGCGGAGATTAAGGGAAGGAGGAGAAAGTGAAGCCAGAAAGCCTAAACCTGTGAAGTCTATTTGTTAATAGCTTAATTATAGACTCCCAAGCTGTCTCTGCATTTTGAGTGGGTTGCCCAGAAGCTAGGACCTCTCTATATGGACAGTGTAAGATCACCTTAGACTGGAGAGGGCAGAGGAGCAGCTTAGTCCCTCATGTTTTGACAGGGGAGGTAGGATTGGTATGGAAGGGCCAAGGCATACCATGCTTACAGGAGGGGTTTCTAGCCTGGGGAAGGTAATGATGAACTGCGCTCGTGAAAGTATGTCTGCACAGACAGTAGCTTGTCCGCACTGAGTCTGCTATCCCTCACTGCCTGACAACAGTGAATGGGAAGACAGCAGAGTGCTCGCTTTTATTTGTTTATTTTTACTTTGGATAGGGGGCTCCAACGGTTTATATGGGCAAGCTCCGTTTCATTCCTTATGCATCTTAGGTAGAGACGTCTTTACCCGCTGTGCAAATGGGACTCATCAACCTCAATTTCACGTCTAGCACTAAAAAAAAATTTTTTTTAAGCCATCTTTTTATTTATTTTTTCTTTCTGACTTAAGAAGTTGTAGCTTCTGTGACTGTAGATTATAGCAAGGAATACTGACATCAATTACAGCACTGGAGGAAGTCAGGCTGGGAGGTAAGAACATCAGGGAGCTTGTAGAAATTTATTTTGAATTCCAGTTTGAGAGCTAAAAGAGACTGTGCCCACCAGCTTCATCTTGAAATGTGGGCGTTCACACTCTAAGCAGCTGTAGAATTTAGGTACCCATGACCTGGACAGCTGGGTCCTCAAGAACAGAGCAGGAGATGCACAATGCAACGGGAGGTAGGGGTGTGGGAGCCTGCGGGCTGCCGGCTTGGATCCAGTTCTCACACTGGGGCTGTCTTAAATGCAAATCTGATCACTTTACTCCTTGCTTAATGGGACCTTGCTAGCTCATCAGCCCACCTGGCCCCTAGGATAATATTCTGTCGCCTTCATAGGTGTCTGAAAGGGCCCTTCACTGTTGAGCCTGGCTGGTCTCTGCAGCCTTCCCTCCAGTCTGGTTCCTTTCATCTCTAAGTGGCTTGACCTGCTGAAATGCTTGACCTCCAAGAGCTTTCCCTGCTCCCTGTCCAAAGGAGGGTCTCCCTTGGTAGTAATGGTTCTGCTCCTTCGTGCCCTTCTTCTCAGTTTGTAAATTATGCATTTATTTCAGGTGTTTAAAGTCTGGCTCCCTGATAAGACTATATAAGCTCCCTGGAGGCAGAAATATAGTGTTTCCTTCCTATTTCTTCTCTCCCTCCCTTCCTTTCTTCCTTCCTTCCTTCCTTACTTCATTCTTTTCCGATGTGTCCATGGCTGTATCCCTAGGACTCTGCACAGTGCCTGACATGCAGTTGGTATTCGTTGACTGTCTTTTGAATAAACGCCTGAGTAGAATGCATGACACCTTCACACCACTCCCTGCACTGAACTCTGGGCTCCTCACTCCAATACCAAACCACTGTGGTTTCTTGAACTGGCCAAGTTATAGCCCCAGCTGGTGGCGGCCCCCTCGCTATGGCCCCAGCGGCCCCATGGCCAGCACCAATTGACCTGGCTAGCTCCTTTGATACTTCTGGGCCCGCCAAGATTTCCCTTCCTTAG